ATCTCTGGAAGACTTGCTCTCCAGAAGCACTCGAGTGTGAGTGGGATGACAAAGTCTTCACAGCTTTTGGATGTGGTGCTCTGGGGAGAAAACACAACATCCTTCTCACATAAGGCTCATAGTGCAAGCTCCCTAACTGACAGATAAAAAGGAAAACTAGATCCTATTTCAGCAAGTCACCTCAGGATGTACTATCCCAAGTATCCTGTATTTGGGTTAATAACAGCTCCTGTTCTTTAGTATCTATCTAACTTAGAGATACAAAAAGTGTAGCCTGGCCAAAAACAGCCAAAAGAGGGACCTGAAGGTGGTCTGAGGGTACAGAGGGAGAGGAGCTTAGCACCAGAAAGGGAGGAAAATATGTTTTAACATTGCTGGCAGAAGAGCAAATGATGTTAAACTGGCTGTGAACACATTTGTGCTGCAACAAGAACAGGGGTGGGAAACCTCCCAGCAGTGAGGCCTGGCAATGGCCTCACGAGCAGCACAGAGGGCAACAAACACTCTTCTGCCTCTTACCTGCTCTGAGGTTGATCACCTGTGAGCGGGGGCATGGAGGCTGGTTGCTGGTGCAGGTGTGCCCAGCACAGGCCCCTCCAGCCCCAGTCCCACAGAGCATCCCTCCCTGCCTGCACCAGCACGTGCTGGGGCACGTTCCCGCGGGATCCGTGGGGTGACACTGGAACCAGGGGTGTCAGGAAAAGTGGCATAAAACCTCCAAACGTGGAAGGTCTGATCACTGCAGGACTGCATGAGCTGTGGGTCACTAAGCTCCTTTTCAGGAAGGAAAATGGAATGGTTTGCACATGCAGCTTCCCTCCCCTCTGTGCTGAGCCTGACACGGGCTGGGGGCTGGGGCAGCCCTGAAGGAGGGAGCAGGTTCCTGGCTGGGCCTTTTCTACAGATAATCATAATAAAAATAAAGGATGTGAAAAGCAATAAAACCTTTTTTTATATATACCTTTTTATAGTTTTATGGGAAAATACAAGGCTTAATCCAGATGGCACCCAGTCTCTTTATTAGCATATCTAGGCAGACAGTGCTTATAACACCAAACTGCATCTTTTTGTATTGAGCTGCTCTGGAAAGCCATTCTTGTGATGGATCACAGCTCTTCTTGGGGAGGAAGAGAATTCCAGTTACCCTTTGATACATGAAAAAACATTACTAGCAATTACTAAAAGCAAAGCAGGTAAGGCCCTTCCACTAGGGGTGGAAGAATATTCTGATCATTCTGACTAAGCTTCTCACTACAAAGGGATTTCACTGACCTTACAGGGCAGTAAAGGGGAAAACAAACATGAACAATAAGCTCATGTTTTAACTGATCAACTTTCTTTTAAAGTCTGGGGATCCTGATTGTCCCCAAAGTCTCTTAAACTAAATGATGCCATTTACACTGATGAATGTAGCAGAGATTCAGGTGCTGGGTGTCAAGGAGGAAACTGCTCTGGCATCAGTGGAGGTTGGTACTTGTGCAAGGGCCTTGCAGCCATTTGGGGACTGGCAGCTGCAGCTCCATCTCTTGGGTGAATCTGCAGTTCCTCTCCCAAACTAGAGAAGAAACTGCACATTTCCAAGGTTTTCTGTGGGCCTGACAGTAGCACACCCCTAGATAATAACCTCCAAAAACTGGCTGGTTTGAGGTGGACTCTCAAGGATGTGCCTCTGCCTTCAAATAGTAACTGTGCATTTGTGTTGGGATTTGTAATGTGTTTGCCTCCTTTTAGTCCATGCTCTTTTATCACCCCCTTGTGTCCCATCCAGTATCCAAGCCTGGCTGGAACTGGCTGGAGAACAGGTGGGTTGGTAGCACAGTGAGATCAAAAAGCTTCACAACTGTTTGTGGGATTTCACATTCAAACAATTCACTTTGTGAAGGAAATAAACTTGCATGGCTTGTTGGAGGCAATGAAAGTGGTGGACTCCAATAATGTCCTTATTCTTCCAGACTGTCCTGAGAAAGAATTAAGAAATTATTGGAAAGTTTATAATGAGTTTCACCTACCATAACTTTGAGAACAACCAGCTAACTCCCATGGCCACCCCACAGAAACCATGGTCCCTGATCCCAACAGCCAGTGCTGTAGTCCACATGTGTACAATTCTGGATTCAATGTCCAATTTAAAAACACACCAGAAAATTCACTGGATTGAATGCCCAAGAACTGAATCATAAGGTTTAGGAAATGACGTAGAAGAGCCATCAGTTCAAACTCCCTTTGTCTGACTGTCAGCCCAAAGAGTGTACAAAATCCAGGCTAGGAAATACACATCTCCATTTGTACCTCTTACACATGGCCCAGACAAAGGAAAATCCCATTCCTTTTCAGTGGCTTACATTGGGAATGCAAAGGAAGGTAACCCTACTGCTAAACTGACATTTGAAAGAGAAAACCAGCTTTTCTTAGCACCTTCACCAGTGAAGCTGAAATAGGCGTGGGAAATACATTTCCTTTCACACAAAGACCTGGGTTTTTCAGGACAAACAGATTATCTGAAAGAAGGTGTCTGTGGTCTCTGGCTGTCAGCTGAAAACTGCTGTTAAATACTCAACATGGTCCTCCACCAAGGGAAATAAAGAACAAAATACAAAGAGGAAATAGAGATTTCTGGGATATGAACAAGCAAGCATGATCTCCATTTCACCATCTTCATGCTGTCTTCATCCCAGCTGCCCGGGCACGACAGGACAGCTCCTCCCTCCCCACGGAGTCCCCCGTAGCACTGCTGCTCTGCCCACAGCTTTGAAGATGCTTCTCCTGGCCTGTGCTGATCAGTGGGCATCCAAATTTCAGTTTGCTTTGAGTCTATTCTTGGGAGAGATAAATTCGAGGGAAAAACATCTGAATATGTTAAAGGAAATTGAATGCTTCACAGTTTACTTCGAGATGATTGGCAGATTGTCACTTTTTCTTTCCCCCCCCCTATATTCCCCATTTCATCTGATCAGGACAGTGAAACTGGGTGTCATAAAATACAGCAGAACATCCCTGCAGCTGCTGCTCAGACCAGAAGATGAGCAAAACAAATTGTTCTTCAGGATCCTCGAGACCCCTTCCAACCTGGCAGTCTGTGGATCTGTGACTGGAAAAGGAGCTGCCCAGATTGCTCGGTGGGCAGAGAGAACGGGAAGCGTAACAGGAGAGTCTGGTCTGCTGCAAAAAACCCCTCGTGCATCCACTTGTGGCAGGGCTCCCAGCAGCCACAGGCAAAGCTGGCCCCTCCAAAGACAGTCATGCCAGAAGTTCCCACAGAGAAGCCTCTTGGTGGTCCCATTCCTGTGGCTTTCACAGGAGATCAGCGGGAGGACACACGGGAAGGTCTGGTTTCCGTAAGTCTTGAATTATGACACACCAACCTTCTAAGCAAAAATCTGCATCAGGGCCTCACTGTACCTATCCTGGTCCTCCATCCACAATTAAAATCTGTTGTTTTCCAGGGGGAAATCTGTTTGCTTGGGTTTTTTTAAGGATGTCAAACCTCATGGTCCATCCAGCCTCTGCGCTCCCACTGTCTTCCGAGCAGCCTTCCCGTTGTGGCACAAGGCATTGGAGACACCACCAACTGCCTACAAACCAGGGAGCCAGCTGCATCCTTGGAGAGCTCCATCCCCCAGGCATCACCAGTATGGACCATTCTATCTTCAGACAACACGTTTCTCACAGGAAGAAAAAACCAAGCCATCCCAGTGCCACCTGTCCAGGGTGCACGGGCGCTTGGCTCAACAAACACACGTACCACTCTGACGTACCTTACCTGGAAAGAGGCTTTATTGAACATAGCTGTAAAATTATCTCTTCAGTTGAATTACTGAATTTGCACAAACATTTCTCTACAGAATTAAAAAAAAAAACCAAAAAACAAGCCTTGTCATTGTTTTACTGCATCTCGTTGTGCTTTTTATACTCATATTTGCAAATGTTATACTCATTTGCTTGCTTTATGTTTGTACTCCAATTACTTGCATATCAGGTGTTTTTTTCTCCTAGGGTGTCGAGAATAATAATAATAATTATAATAATAATACTCTTTAGACAAAAGTCTTTTTTTTTTTTCTTTTAAATGAAGTTAAAAGCTGAGATAATTAAAGGAAAAAGGTCTTCAAATTGTCATAACCAACTGTAAGGGAACTTTACAATGCAGTGGAAAACTGGCCGACTGACGGTACGTGTTGGGGTAGCTCAAAACCATTTGTACAGCTTTTACTTTTGTTTTCGTTTTGTTGTTGTAAAAGTGATTTCTTTCTTTTCTTTTTTAAGTTTTGCTACAGTAACAAAATAATCTTTTGTGATCTGCACAGAGTCTGGCTCCAGGGCAGAGGCCCGGCCCCCGCTGGGTGGGCAGAGAGCTCTGGGGTTTGCTGCCGTCCCCCCGTCCTCCCCATCCTCTCCTGCAAATGGAGGGTAGAGTAAGAAAAATCACTTCTGTGTTTTACCACCTTCTGAGCTAAGTGTATCTTTAACAACCTTTTCCTCTGGTTGGCCCACTCAACAACCTGAAAACAAAACCAAAACAGACAACGAACCAACAACAACAACAAGGAAAGTGTGCCGTTCCCATTTCCAGGGCCAACGGAAGCTAGTTTTCTAATGGGTAAGAAGCTGAAAGGCCATGGCTGTCTGGAAGGTTAAACAACAAACACCTCATCCAAAAAGGGCTTATGCAGCAGCTTAGGTCCATCCATCCATCTCCAGAAGCGGCTCGGTCTCCTCGCCTGCAGTCTGCACACCCAGGCTCTGCAGTTTGTTTAGAAAACACTTTGCACAAACCACATCTTAGCAGTGCAAGCTTCTGTGTTGAAACTGTTATCACCATTTTTATTTCATTATTTTCTTTTTTTTTTTTTTTTAATATTTCTTTAAATCAGGCTTGTTTCATTGAAGGCACTTGGTTTCCATGGCAATTTATAAAAGACGGTGGTTTGGTTTCTTCACCTCATCAGAACAGATGACTCAGCTGGGGAGGGGAGAGGGGTGTCCGAGTGGCCGCAAGCAAACTCCGATAAGCCTGTGTCATATGTAAGCCCAGGTGGCACATCCTGGATAGTAATGCATGCAAAAGGAGACAGCATACAGTTATCTAGCATAGCCATGAGAAATGAAACAGAAACGTCTTAAAACAGCTCCGACTCGGGGTTATTCTCTAGGGGAGGTGACAGCCAAAGTAGAAAGGGCCTACAATTATTCAACTCTACGCTAAAAACCTTCTCGAAGGGAAAATGAATGCCAGCTCTTCACATACCCTGTTTACAGTGAGGTGTTTATCTCTTGCTCTCTGTTTTTATTTCCTCTCTCTCTTTCTTTTTTTTTTTTTCTTTTTGGCAGGCCATTAGGTTTCCATGGTAACAAGCAAACTATTCATTTGAAACAAAACCAGCCATGACTTTGTGCTTTGACAAGGGTTTCTATAGCTCTTTGCCGAGAGTTCAACCAGATGATGCTGTATTCATTATTGACCACAAAAGCACCTGAAGGTCTCTTCCTTACTTAGGCCAGATCTTGTTCTCACACGTGGTTCATAGTGAGTTACACTCCCGTGATGCCTTGTTTGTCCCCAGTGCTTTTTAATTATTATTAAATTTATTTATGTATTTATTTAACTTTTGAGTCAGTCAGTGGAGGAATCTTTGGTAGTTTGTTTTTAAATGTCCATTTTACAAAGACTCTTTCTTCATGCCAGTGCCTGGTGAATCTTTTGTAGCCTCTGCCAGGATAAGGTCACCTCTGATGACTTAAGACAGACATGAGGATGATAACTGGGATAAGTCGTATATGTGCTAATGTCCCAACAGCACCTGATCGTAAATCTACAAAGAGGGGGGAAAAAGGTAGAATTAAAGAGCTGCCCAGACACAGCCAGCATCGCTACAAGGCTCAGGAGAGAAAGGGCTCAGCCACCAGGATCTCACCTGCACACCAACATGTGGAGGACAACAGGGTGAGGCTCACCCAATGCTGTCCCCATTTGTCACACTTAGTGCCACCCTCCTCCCCTGGCAGAGCCCTGGTCTCTCTAGGGACAGCAGTCTGCAAGGTCACCTCCTAACAAGAATGGAGAAGAACTGTGTGCACCATGAGGAAGGAGATCTCGGGATAACAAAACACCCAGCTGTGTAGTTAAGGTCTGAATCATAATGCACCATCACAACCCTGTTATTCAAGAATTTTATACTGTTTGGATCCCTTGGACATTTTTTTAGCATTCGTTTGTCTGTCTGCCCACCTCAATCCAGGGTCACCCAGCCCCTCAGCAGAGCCCCCCTGCTCTCCCCTCTGACTCCCATCGCTGCTAAACCACCATCTTCCTCTCTGGGCAAAGTTGTTTTGACACCAGAGCTTGGTTCCAAGGAAAGCTTTAAGTCTCTGCAGGTGAATGGAATGATATATTGTTCTCCCGGAGAAAACCCATTTTAGAAGGTGCCTCAAGTTTATAACCAGGAGAAGCAATTTGCTCTCCCCCACGTGCAGAAGAGCCACTTACTGTTGGCCGGTTGGTCTGATTTCATACACTCTCCTTCCACAATTGACACATCATCAATAGCAATATCACCTTCAATGCCAGGCCCCCGGATCCCTTCAAATATGAGCTGCAAAACAATAAAGAACAAGCAGATGAGAGGGTGACACATGGGAGACATTCAGCTGCCTTTTGCAAGGCATTAAACGTCATCGATGGGCTTGGAACAATTCACAAATGCTTCATATGGTGCAGAGAAATGGGACTGAGTTTCCACGTACTGGTGAGGTGAAGACAGAGGAGGTGTGAGCTGGGGAGGATTCTACACTCCAGAATGAGCTGAGAAAGCTGCTAGTTGTCTGCCAAATCATTGACCTAGTGTCTCCAGGTCAGCTTCTCCCCTATGATGACTGTGAATTTTAATTAAAGTACAATATTCCCGGAGCAAAGAGCAGGATTAAATGGACAAAAAGGTTCAAAGAGATTTGGGGTGTTTTTCCCAGGAGCTTCTGTCACCCAGAGTGAATGGTAGAGGCACAGACTGAAGAAGGGCATCTGCGAGGTGTTGGAGGATTGAGCATCCACTTGACCACCAACCCCATGAAAACATATGAGCCAGAACAAAAATCCACAGTCAAGTGAAGTTTCTGGCTCTCAAAGGCGGCCCAACGAGTCCCTCCTACCTCACCTCCCACACTGGACTCACTCTTGTCATCAGGAGGAGGACAGGAGATATCTTCCTGCAGTCTTCTCCTGGGATAATGTTTCCTGACCCATGAAAGCCTCTGAGAACCCTCTCAGGAGCTGGGTTGGTGTGCCTTCACCTGCATTTATGGCAGGGGGTTGGGAAGGGACTGCTTTTGACTTGGATCCCCTGAGGTCCCACCTCTGATCACCCCAGTGGATTTTAACTGCAGTAGGAATTGGTGACAGTAACAGACCAGCTTCTCTCCTGCCCCTTTTAGTGGCTCATCATCACATCTAGAAGCTTTGATCCCTTCTAGGAGTGGTTTCATATTCATCAGGGACACTGTGGTGTGTTTTATCACAGAGAGGGTCAGGGTAGGGATTTAATTTCTCTTTAAGGCTTTAACCTCAGCTAAATGGATGTGTGTGGCTTCAAGGTCCTATTAATCACTTTCTGTCTGATATTCCTAGCCTGAAATCCTGGCTGCTGAAGCTGGGAAGGGCCTTACGGAGATGGGTGGCTTCCTGCAAGGCCAGTCATCTTACTTGCCCTCACATTCCTTACAGACTATGGATTACTGTTGTTCTAAAGAAGCAAAGCTACCTGCTCTCCTTCCCCACCCCTGAGGTGCTGCAGTCCTGCCCTGCTGCTGCTTCAGCAGCTTTGCAGAGCAGTTGGACCCACCTGTGTTGCCAGAAATTTATTCCCCAGAAAACTTCAAAGCCTTTCTGAATAGATGAAGGAATTATGTAAGGAATACATCTCCCAAGCAGCACCATTTGCACAGTGATCTCTTCTTTCCCTCTTTTTTTCCCCCCTCAGTCCTTTGAAATATTTTTGCTTAACTTGGATGACAAGTTTTTTAAGTTTAATCTGCAACAATATATGCATGAAATGCAATGAATTTTATAAGGGCGAGCGGTGGCACTAATGGAGACATTAACTCTTGGGGGTAGAGTCAATTTGAAAAAAAATTAAATTATTCATTCCATCTGGAGCAAAATACTTCAATTACTCTTTGTAATGATTTAACTGCATCAGGGAGATATCTGGGGCACTTGGTTGGGCTCTTCCATTGTCACCAACTCCAGCAGGACACAGATCTGAGCCTCTGCAGCTGCCGACATTTTGTTCCTCATTAACAGAGTTCAGCCAAAGCTGCTCTTTTGAAACAAACACCTTCCATTAGAAACCATGAGTACATACCCAGGGCAGTGGAAGAAGACCCTGGAAATCACAGGGGTTCAGCATGGAGTCCAGCTGGATGAGTATCACCCAAGGACCATGTCACCAGGTTGCCACCAGCCACCGCATTGCACGGGCAACGCTCTGCCCTTCCATGGAGAGCACGTTCCTCCACCCTGCCCTCAGACACATCTCACCCTTTAGCTGAGCTGAGCACCCCCAGGACGTGCCTGTCCCTGCCACGGGAAGCTGGTGTGGATACACAGCCTGTCTGGGGTGATCCCAGCCAGGCACAGACCTTGTACCAGGAGATACTTTATGGAAATGCGGCACTGAGGGTTAATTACTGTATCAAGGATATTAATGCAACAGGAGGCTGTAATTGGGAAACAGAAAGTTTTTCTGTCATTTACCCTGTTGTCTGAAAACACTGTCTCAAGTAATTATCCTGCTGACAATTTTTTGACTCTACCTCTGATGCTGGGAAGTGTTCAGCTCGAGAGCAGAGTGTCTTCCCAAAGAACAGCTTCCTCTCCTGCGCCCTGGCAGTGGGCACAAGACCAACCAACAGAGCTAGAAGTCAAATCTTTCCTGATAATGAAAAACACTGTTTCCAGACAAAAGGACTCTATACAAACAAAACAGCCAGCATTTAATTAAAATCTGCATTTGGCAGCACATTTCTTGGGGCTCAGAGATGGGTTGCTATTAGCCAGCTTGGCTATGCGCTCGGAACAAATCACGGCAGATGAATGTTGGCAAGGCAAGGAGCACAACCCAGCCTGCAGCTCACTGCCCTTGGCAGGAGGTGCCAGATGATCAGAATCCCCCATCAGCATCCCACAAAACCCATTATCTGCATGTCCATGACTTCACAAAGCTCTTCTTAAAAATGCTGCATTTAGCTGAAGAATAGAGGAGCTTATGTGTAGAGCAAAGGCCACTCCACTCTCTGAACAAAGGGCATGGAGATAAGCCCCATAGTGCCTCCAGAGTCATCTTGAGTGTCCCTGGGGAACAGGTTGAGAGAGTTGGGGTGCTCAGCCTGGAGAGGAGAAAGCTCTGGGGGTACATTAGAGCACCTTCCAGTGCCTGAAGGGGCTCCAGGAAAGCTGGGGAGGGACTTGGGACAAGGGCAGGGAGGGATGGGATGTGAGGGATTGGTTTCAAGCTGAAAGAGGGGAGACTGAGATGAGATCTGAGGAAGAAATTCTTTGCTGTGAGGGTGGTGAGAGCCTGGCCCAGGTTGCCCAGGGAAGCTGTGGCTGCCCCATCCCTGACAGTGTTGAAGGGCAGGTTGGATGGGGCTTGGAGCAGCCTGGGCTGCTGGGAGGTGTCCCTGCCCATGCAGGGGTGTTGGAATGGGATGGTCTTTAACGTCCTTGGCAACCAAAACCATTCTGTGTTTGATGATTCTATGATTCCTCAACAGGATTTCAAACAGTTTTTATGCTCCTGGAGCCTAACGAGTGTCTCCAGACAGCAGGATGACAGGGGTGTGAGCCCTTTACACACATTGCAAGGGGCTGGAAACCTCAGGGGCCTGTCAGGGTCATTTCCTTATGGGCAGATGAGACCCTCTTTTGCCAAAAATGCCTCTAACACAAGAATGTGTTAAGGAAAGTGTAGCTGGAGGTGGTGGCTGTGCTCCTGCTCTTTTTTTTTT